GGCCCTCAGGCAGTGCCCAAGTTTCCAAATGGTCAGTCCGCCCCTGCTTCTATTGATTCAGTAAACTGTCAAATGGCAATCCTGGCATGCCCTCCTCCTTCCTTTATCCTCTATAAAGGAACATTTCCTGGAAACAAAACGTGTACCCAAGGGGCACCGCTAGTTTTGTGGGTGTGAAGCCTGAAGCAGATGTGCAGAGTACTGTCAAAAAGTACTAATTAAATCAGTACACCCTGAAGGTGCCCCAACATGATGTGCCCATTGTATGCTGTGTAACTACTGCTGAGGAATGGGTTAAAGAGCACATGTATTCCTCTGCTACACAACAGCAGCACTGAATAGTCCCTAAACTTGAACCACTCAGATCTATGTGGTCTTATAAAAGCAAGGATTCCAGGAAAAAACGTACTTACTCACATTCATCGATGACTACTAAAGCTATAAAATACTCTACCTTTTACACAGTAAATATGAAGTTCCAGATAAACCTGAACAATATATTGCCCAAGTAAGCAACACATTTGGCAAAATACCTAAAATACTCTGAACAGATAATGGTACAAGTGGTCAAACACAAGCCATTCTGAGGAAGCACGGAATTATGTTCCCCATTACAGTACCATACAATCCAGAACAAAATGGTGTTGCAATAAAAATGAACCACACAATGCCAATAACATACTAAGAAGAGGCAATCATGACAGCCTGCTATCTCCTAAACCACTTGACTGTAAAGCAACAGAAAAAACTCTGTATAAGCTATAGAGTGGAAAAAACCCTTACCTGAAACACATTAAAATCTTTGGACGCAAACTATGTCTGTATGTCCCTAAATCAAAGCATACAAAAAGGGAACCTTTTCCTAAGAAAGGTTTATTTGTCAGCTATACTGGTGTTTAGTTACAGGATTCTGCATCTAAACACCAGTAACATAACACTCCGCAGAAATATAATTATTTTCTAAATGCCTATGTGTCAAAAGCCTTATGAAGTGACACAGTCAGCATCATCTGAACAAAAATGTGGGCAAGAAGCCCCACTAATAATGCAGGAAAAAGAATAGAACATCACTAAAATTAAAATTGACATCAGTGAATTATCTTCTATCGCTGAGCCACCTGCAACTTTAGTCAGAAAATCTGCTAGATCCAATAAGGACATCACAGCTAGATTCTTACCATTTCTGATTCAAAAAGCGTGAACCAGAACATGGGAAAAAATTCATAACCTACCTGTTCATAAGAAATAAATATGGATTAAAGCTGCAGATGAAAAGGTGACATCTCTCAACCAACCCCAAGATGCAATGCAAAGGTGCAAGCACACCAATGGAATCGGTGTATCTAATGCTGGTAGAAGATCTACCTAACAAAGGATAGTACAGACAAAGTGTAGGGGCATTTTATATACTGCAACCACTACACATCCAGACACAGGGGCTGCTATGTCACTTCTCTCCAGATGTGTTCTACAGACAAAGCTGATCTCGTGATACGGTAAATGGCCAATCACAGCGGCCTTTTACCACGTGATCAGCTGTGCCCAATGACACAGCAGATCAGCGGGTAAAAAACAATTGCTAACAATTGTTATTGGCTGCACTTTCCTCACGCTGTCACAGCGTGAAGAAAGTATTGCTGAAACCTGCAATTGTCAGAGAAGTGATTATCACTGGTCATTAGGGCACTGATGATCAGTGCCCAGCAGTGCCACCCAACTGTGCCACCCACCAGTGCCGCCCAACCGTACCCATCAGTGCCGCCCACCTGAGCCCTGAAGTGCCACCTACCTGTGCCCAGCAGTGCCTAGCTGTGCCTCCCACCTGTGCCCAGCAGTGCCACCGATCAGTGCTGCCCATCAGTGCCACCGATCAGTGCCATCAGTCAGTGCCACCCATCAGTGCCCATCAATGCCGCCTATCAGTGGCCATCAGTGCCGCCAATTAGTGCAGCATCATCTGTGTCAGCTCATCAGTGCCGCCTATCAGTGTCCATCACTGTTGCCTATCTGTGCAGCCTCATCAACGTACATCAGTGAAGGAGAAAAATTACCTGTTTGCAAAATTGTATAATAGAAATAAAGAAAAAAAAAATTTTTTTAAATTTTTTGCTCTTATTTTGTTTATAGCGCAAAAATAAAACACCTAGTGGCGATTAAATACTACCAAAAGAAAGCTATGTGTGAAAAAAAATGATAAAAATGTCATATGGGTACAGTGTTGCATGATGGCGCAATTGTCATTCAAATTGCGACAGTGCTGAAAGCTGAAAATTGGCCTGGGCAGGAAGGGGGTATAAGTGCCTGGTAGGCAAGTGGTTAAGGTAAAAAACACCTAGACTGTAGAACCACTTTAAAGCGGTAGTAAACCGCAAAAAAAATTCACAGAAAATGGTCCACTACAAAATAATAGCATAATGTGCTAGTATACATCGCATACTAGCACATTATGAAAGACCTACCTTAGAACAAAGCCCTTTAGCGATGCGCTGTCACTGCTGACAGGGCTTCCATTTTCATCCGGTCTGCATTCCAGGTACCTGGGCCTCGGCTGTTTGACTGGCCGAGCCATGATAATGCACGTGGGAGTCACGGCCGCAGCACAGCCCTCTCAGTGGACAGCACAACGTCCATTGATAGTACAGTGCGCATGCACCAGTAATGTCACCGACTGCTACGATAGTTAATATCTCCTAAACGGTGAACATTTAGGAGATATTTACTGTACCTACAGGTAAGAATTACTTTAGGCTTACCTGTAGGTACAAGTAAACAAGATAGGTTTACTGCCTCTTTAATGCAATCTATCCCTAATGTGTCCCTAAATAAGACAAAAATAGCTGTCTATAGTGTCCTGTGTATAATCTTGCTCAAAACACCTGCAAAGGTAAGAATATATTATTTTACTATTTTAAGTATGTTGTGTGAATGGGATCACATAACAAAATATAGTAGTGGGTTCTCAAATTTAGTTGCAAAGGTACACTTTAAAATGTGTGTTACACCAACAAATTCTTTTTTTTTTGTTTTGTATGGCAGATGTAAGAAAAAGACACCTGTTGGGTTTTTACTGCTATCCAGAACAATGTTAAAGAGACTTACCCTCATATCCTGTCCTGCTGACAATAGTTTCACCAGACAGGTGAGAGAAAATCTGCAACAGGGATACAAAATCTGACAGTGGTTCTAACCTTCTCCTGCTCTACTAAAGAAGGCATTTTATTTTCCTTCCTGGTAAAATGGTGTCAGCAATACAGGAAGTGAGGGTAAAATTCTCTAATGGAGCAGTAAAAACCGGAGAGTGGTTCTAACCTTACCCCACTTACCTTATGCCAGGAGAAAAAGTTTTGCGGATGTACACTTAAAGAGGTATTAAACCCAAAAATAAAAATATATTATATTGCAGCTTACAAATTCCTAAATGTGGTGGTTGCAATATGTTTTTAGGCTTTTTTTTTTCCCCTTTATTTTAACTTGGTGATCTGGCCAGTAACACATTTCCTGTCTTAAGGTGTCTCCACTTTGGGTGGAGAAGCAAAGGGGACATCAGTGGAAACTCTCAAAACCAAATAGTAATGCAACCAAAAATGGTTGCATTGGTATAGTCAGGGCAATTAAAAATGTGAGTCAGAAATTTCCACAAATATATTTGCAGAGTACACAGTATTGTCTCAGAAACCTTCCAGTACATTGTATTTTCTAGAATTATGAGTACAAGGTCTAATATTATATGACATACTACTATATCCTGCCATACCTCTCATGGCATCCTTCACATGGGTCCTCATGCAAGTGGAAAATATAACTGAATATGCTGGTCTTCAAGAATGTATACCCCTTGGGACTCTTTATGCCCTTCACAGGAAAAATCTGTATAAACACCTGCAGCTACTGGCAGAAACAGTGCACAGCTTTGTTCCTACACCTACAAATTGTCCTCATATAGTGTACTGGATTTTGGCACTTTTATGGATGTTTGCAAAAAGGAAACCTGCTTTTAACATCAAAACAATACTCATAATGTCACTAATAAGTTACAGTGGATGTACTTTCGCTTATTCTTTATGGTTCCTCCATTTTAAAATAGACTTCATTTTGCCTTGGAGTTTGTAAAATTTAAATACATTACATCTGTACTATTTAGAAAAAGAAGAGATGTACGTTTACTGCCAAGGTCCCATGTGGTAAATCAATTACTGTGGTTTCTTCCATAGGAAACTGTTTCAAGTTCAAGCTTTTCTGTATTACTGTGGGATTTTTTTTTTAATTTTAATTATGTTTATTTACTGGTTTAGCACAGTGTTGCTATTATAAATAGCCTGTTTGATTACTCTGCTGCATATTTTCCCTGGAGACACTGTAATAATAACCATTTTTCTGAAGACTAAAACATTTAGGAATCTCGGGCTCCCCTCTTCCAAACTTTGCTTTGAATTTTCATGGCGTGTTGCTGTACTCTTACATGCTGAATAAGCAGCCACAAGAGTCTACATTAGACCAACAGCAAACTGAGATCAATAAGCAGTTCAGGCATATGAAGGACACTGTCATCTACAGTCACATATGATTTTATATACATATATGTGTGTGTATATATATATATATATATATATATATATATATATATATATATACACACACACACACTATATTGCCAAAAGTATTGGGTCAGCCTTCCAAAATCATTGGATTCAGGTGTTCTAATCATCTCCATGGCCACAGGTGTATAAAATCAAGTACCTAGGCAGGCAGATTGCTTCTACAAACATTTGTGAAAGAATGGGTCGCTCTCAGGAGTTCAGAGAATTCAAGCGTGGTATTGTGATAGGTTGCCACCACCTGTGCAAAAAGTCCATCTGTGAAATTTCCCTGCTACTAAATATTTTACGGTCAACTAGTGGTATTATAACAAAGTGGAAACAACTGGGAACATCAGCAAATGAAGTGGTAGGCCACTTAAAATGACAGAGCAGGGTCAGAGAATGCTGAAGTACACAGTTCACAGAAGTCGCCAACTGTCTGCAGAGTCAATAGCTAAAGACCTCCAAACACCATGTGGCCTTCAGATTAGCACAACAACAGTGCATGGAGAGCTTCATGGAATAGGTTTCCATGGCTGAGCAGCTGCATCCAAGCCTTACATCACCAAGTGCAATGCAAAGCACAGGATGCAGTGGTGTAAAGCATGCCATCACTGGACTCCTAGAGCAGTGTAGACATGTTCTCTGGAGTGACGAATCACGTGTCTGGGTTTGGCGGTTGCCAGGAGAAAGGTACTTGCTTATGGTGTGGGGTTGTTTTTCAGGGGTTGGGCTTGACACCTTAGTTCCAGTGAAGGAAACTCTTAAGGCGTCAGCATACCAAGACATTTTGGACAATTTCATGCTCCCAACTTTGTGGGAACAGTTTGGGGATGGCCCCTTTATGTTCCAGCATGACTGTGCACCAGTGCACAATGCAAGGTGCATAAAGACATAGATAAACAAGTTTGGGGTGGAGGACCTTGACTGGCCTGCACACAGTCCTGACCTCAACCCGATAGAACACCTTTGGAATGAATTAGAGCAGAGACTGCGAGCCAGGCCTTCTCGCCCGATATCAGTGTGTGACTTCACAAATGCGCTTCTGGAAGAATGGTCAAACATTTCCATAGACACATAGACATATTGTTCCTAAGCCTTGTGGACAGCCTTCCCAGAAGAGTTGAACCTGTTATTAGCTGCAAAGGGAGGGCCAACTCAATATTAAACCCTATGGACTAAGACTGGGATGCCATTAAAGTTCATGTGCATTTAAAGGCAGGTGTTCGAATACTTTTGGCAAAGATAGTGTATGTAGTATTTAAACTGCTCTTTACAATCACCACCTTTACAGTCAACAGAGAACATCCTCAGCTATTTTTGTGCAGCTAAGTAAGAGGTAACAAAACTCCATGTCATTTCGGAAATTTACATTTTCTGCAACCCCCCCTGCCCCCCCCCCCCCCCCCCCCCAAAAAAAAAAAAAACTTTAACAGTGGAGTTGTCACTGACAATGGAGTGGGACATGTATACTGCATAAAGGCCAATCACTTCCCTCATCACAATGTAGAACTGAATGAATAGAGGAATAAGGGAGTATGGCTTGTATACATGATGGGAATATTGGATGAATGATCGTCTGCTTTTTTTTGTTTTATGTTTTTTGCATCCTAGTCTCATATCAAAAACGAATAGGTTACTAAAGTTATGAAAACTCTTGTTAGAATACAGCTTCAGAAATGATGTAATGTATTGTATTGTAATGTATTGTTTCGTTTCCGAGCATAGGTGGTCTTGGTCACTCAATTTTTTTCGTACAAATAGTACACTAACTGTCGTGATCAGCTCTCGGACACTGTGTACTAATGATCAGATTAACGGACGAATGCTCCAAGAGCATTTTTTCCATCTGATGTTCTCATTATGTGTATTAGGCATTAGGGAGGGTTTTAAACCTTGTCAGCTTTTTTTGTCATCTAAGTCCCATTGGGAAGATTTTTCTTCATTTCCTGTTCCATAACAACAGCAGGAAGCAAAATTCAAAATGAGGGAAACCAGAACTAGTTAAACACTTTGGAAGATCCCCCCCCCCCCCCCCCCTCTCATTACTGTGCTGGTGACAAATTAAATCTGGGATTTTTTTAACTTTCTCTTTTGGTGATAATGGTTACCAGGAGATGGACAGAGACAACAAAGAAACCTAAGAGGTTTTCTAATCATTGTCCTCTAAAACTGGAAAAAAAGTTTTGCCTTCAGTTATACTTTATGGAAATACACCCATGGAGAACCAAATAATTCTGGGCAACTGGTTTAAAGGCTAAGATCATTTTAGAACCTATTAGCACCATTCCCATATGAAGAAACAGCTGCAGTATTTATGTAAAGACCCACTACCTCCACTTGAAATTATACAAAGGGTTTTATTTAGTCTATAGGCTTTAGCTCTTTTCACATAGGTCAGACTTTCTATCCTGGAAGTACTATATTTGTAAACTGCAAACTTGCAAGCAGAGCAGCACTTGGCCGCCCTCTGCTGCCTACAAAATAGCATTCATGAAGTTGAACCAACTGGTAACAGGTTATCAAGAATTTACATGATTCTCAATATTTAGAGTTTAGATTAGTTTCTAACTGATATCTCAAGTGACTTTATGCACCAGGCCGATGCTTTATAAACAACACCTTAAAATAGGCAATAGGTTATAACTTGGAATATTGAGGCCCAAAATTGCTTGTATCTGCATTAGATAAACAAAACTGTTATAGTGAAGTAAGCTTAACCCCTTTATGCCCAGCCCCGTAATTTTAGTACAGCTCTAGCTTTCATATAGCAAATATGTGGTTGAATAAATACAGAATAGAGGAGTCAGAACAATTTTGTGAAGAATGTAACCAACAGATTTAACTGCATTGCAGATATCACACAGGAAAATAATTTATTTCAAAGGTATTCTGAGTTAATACATGATATAAGAGATGATGTGGAACAGCCATGCTTCAAGGAATTATGTTTATCCTTCTCAGGGTATTTTCTCAGTTTAATAGATTTAGCATTACCAGGGCAATTAGTGAAAATATATGTACAGGTTGCCCAGGGAATGTTTTATGAATCACCTTAAAGAAACCAATGGGCAGTATTTAAAGACTCCCTAATCAGAGTAAGTCTCTGAATGCCAACTAGAATGGTCTATCCAGGTATGCTATCCAGGTCTCCATTAGAGAGTTTTCCCTCACCACTGTCCTCATGACACTGCTTTCACCAAAAAGAAACATAAAGGGTGAAATAAAAATCTGATAGAAGTTAGGCCTTATGCACACTATGTTCTTCTGAACGCTTTTCTCCTGACAGGAGAAAAGCAGCATTGAAAATGCAGTTATAGCCATGTTTTTTAAAAGCGTTCAGTCAAGTGTTTTTCTGGTGTTGAATAATTTCATTGGCCAGAATAGTCATTTATTCCTCTCCCAGGCTCCATACCTGCAGCACTTCCTCACTCCATCTTCCACCCGACTCTCCAGCTGACCAAGCTCTCTCATATTTAGGGATTGACCTAGCCACCATGCAAGGCCTCCTGCCTTGGGCTGGCCAGATTCTCCAGATCATCCCCTCCTCACCCCAACCCACTGGCTTCTGTAAACTTTCTAGAGCAGGGGGAGGTATCAGAGGACTGACCTTAAGAGCCCTTCAGCCTTCACCTCAAGTAAGTTTACTGACTCACTCCCAGGCTGACTCATACCCAGGCTTCTAGCAAGCCTCTAAGTATGCACACACAAAAAAAACTATCTTACACTAGAGGTCATTACACTGGATACAGTATATGTGTAGAACTATACCTTTAAGAATAGTGTATAATATACACATACAATAGCGAATGCAATGCAAACAAAGTAAGTGCAAAATCCAAACACAATTTCAATGTAAACTTAAGTTCATTGGCCTCCTTGTACAACGACTCACTGTCAGCTGCCCTAGACTCTCTGGCACCCCTAACCACACGCATCATCAAACCCAGACCACTTCAACCATGGCAGAATGACAGCACTAAACGCCTCAAACGTCGCAGTCGCTCACTGGAGAGACTGTGGCGCAAAACCAGGTCCCCTCACGCATTCTCCCTCTACAAATCTGCCTTCCTCACTTACACCTCCTCCCTCCACGCCGCCAAGCAGGCCTACTTTGTTAACCTAATCAACACCCTCTCCTCCTGCCCTCGCCGACTCTTCTCCACCTTCAACTCCCTGCTCTCTGCCCCCCCCCCCCCCCCTCCTCCACTCAGTACCTCACTCACCGCCCACGAGATTGCCACCCATTTCTGTAACAAGATTGACACTATCCGTAAGGACATTGTCAACTCGCAATCTACCTCCCCACCTAGCCTCCCCACCCCCGTCACCCCCTTCTTCTCCCCCCTCCTCTGCCCTCACAACCGCACTGCCCTCCACCTCTCCCAAGGCCCCGCCCACCGTAACCCCCCCTGCACTGCACTCCCTCAGCCCTGTCACTACTGAGGAAATCGTCAAGGTCCTCTCAGAAGCCCACCTCACTACCTGCCCCCTGGACCCTATCCCCTCTCAACTCCTCCGGTCACCCCCCTCTTCCCTCATCCCGCTCCCTCACCCACATCTTCAATCTCTCCCTCTCTACTGGCGCATGCCCCTCCCCCCTAAAGCACGCACATATCACCCCCATCCTCAAAAAGCCCTCCCTGGATCCCGCGGACCCCAACAACCTCAGACCCATCTCCCTGCTGCCACTCACCTCCAAGCTCCTTGAGCGCATAGTCTACAATCGCCTAAGCGCCCACCTTATTGACAATAACCTCCTTGACCCATTACAGTCCGGCTTCCGTCCCCTACACTCCACTGAAACTGCCCTCCTCAAAATCACTAATGACCTACTAAACGCCAAAGCCAAGGGCGACTACTCTGTCCTCCTTCTCCTGGACCTCTCTGCGGCCTTCGACACAGTCGACCACCCCCTCCTCCTTAATAAACTACTCTCCCTTGGCATCAGAGATACCGCTCTCTCCTGGTTCTCATCCTACCTATCCCGACGCTCCTTCAGCGTCACCTACAATGGTACCACCTCCCCCTCCCTCCCCCCTCTCTGTTGGGGTCCCCCAAGGCTCTGTCCTTGGACCCCTTCTCTTCTCCATCTACACCTCCTCCCTGGGCACACTCATACACTCCCATGGCTTCAATTATCACCTCTATGCTGACGACACCCAAATCTACCTCTCCACCCCTCTCCTCACCCCCACTATCTCCACCCGCATCACTCACCTCCTAAACGACATCTCAGACTGGATGTCGCTCCATTTCCTCAAGCTTAACCTCTCCAAAACCGAACTCCTCGTCTTTCCCCCTGCCCACACCCCCCCCCCCAGCCTATCCATCACCACCACCAACACCACTATCACTCCCACCCCGCAAGCCAAAGTCCTTGGCGTCATTCTTGACTCGAACCTCTCCTTCCTGCCTCATGTCAAATCACTTACAAACACCTGCAGGCTCCATCTCCGCAATATTGCCAAGATACGTGCCTTTCTCAACCCAGACACCACCAAACTTCTTGTACACTCCCTCATAATCTCACGCCTTGA